CCATTGTGGCAATCCATCTCATTGGGGGTCTTCATCTTTTTCACTGACCCTCCACTTTACCAAGCATGATGTCCTTCTCCAGAGACTGGTTCTCCTGATAATACGTCCTAAGTTTGAGAGATGAAGTCTGGCCATCCTGGCTTTTAAGGAGAATTCTGGCTGTACTTCTTCCAACACAGAGTGCTTGTTCTTTTGGCGGTTCATGGTATTTTTAATATTCTCCTCTAACAGAATAATTCAGATGCATCAATTCTTCTACAGTCTTCCTTATTCATTGTCCAGCTTTCACTTGCATATGAGGTTATTGAAAATACCATGACTTGAGTCAGTGCACCTTAGTTCTCAAACTGATATCTTTGCTTTTGAACACTTTAAAAACATCTTGTACAGCAGATTTGCTTAATGCAAATCATCATTTGATGTCTTGACTGCTGCTTCCTTGCGTGTTGATGGTTGATCCAAGCAAAATGAAGTCTATGACAACTGAAGTCTTCTCCATTTATCTTGATGTTATTTACTGGTACAGTGGTGAGGATTTTTGTTTTCTTTACTTTGGGGTGTAACCCATATGGAAGGCTGTGGTCTTTGAGCTTCATCAGTAAGTATTGTAAGTTCTCTTCGCTTTCAGCTAGGAAGGTTGTATCATCTGCATATTGTAGGTTGTTAGAAGTCTTCCTCCAATCTTGATGCTACACTCTTCATCGAATCCATCTTCTCAGATTATTTGCTCAGCATACAGATTGTATAAGTATGGTGAAAGAAACAACCCTGGTACACACCTTTCCTGATTTTAAACCATTCAGTGTCCCCTTGTTCTGTTCAATTTACTTAGTGCCTCTTGGTCTACATACAGGTTTCTCATGAAAAAAATTACGTATCTTGGAATATTCATTCTCCGTAATGTTGTCCATAGCTTGTCATGATCCACACAATCCAAAGCCTTTGTGTAATCAGTAAAGCGCAGGTAAACATCTTTCTGATATTCTCTGCTTTAATCCAAGACCCATCTGATGTCACCGGTGATATCCCTTGACTGAATCTGGCGTGAATCTCTGACAGTTCCCTGTCAGTGTATTGTTGCAGCCATTTTTAAATTATCTTTAGCTAAATTTTACTTGCATGTGATATTAGTGATATTGTCCGATGATTTCTGCCTTCTTTTGGGTCGGTTTTAACTGCAAGGTTGTTGGTTCAAGCTCACCAGTCACTCCTTGGAAACCTTGTATAGGGTTGCTATGGGTCAGAATCAACTCGATGGCACTTAAAAACAACATCAACCATGCCTAGGATATTGATGTTTAATCATTCCTTTTCAATTTTTGACAACTTCCGATTTTACTAGATTCATACTATGTACATTCCATTACTAATGGATTACTAATGGATTACTTTGTACATTCCATTACTAATGGATGTTTACATCTGTTTCTCCATATTTTGAGTTGTGCCCCATCAGAAAATAAAGGTCCCCAATGCTTTATTGCATTTGTGTCATTATGTTCAATTCTACTTTGAGGAGGCAGCTCTTCCTAGTTGTATTTTGAGTGCCTTCCAACCTCAGGGGTTCATCTTCCAGCACTATATCTGACATTAATATGATGTTCTTCATTTTTCAATATTCAATATTCTGATGCTCTCTGACAATGTTCATAAGGTTTTCAGTGATTAAATATTTGGAATTAGTCTGTCTTTCCTTCTTCCTAATCTGTTTTGTGTCCTGCTGTGGTGCTGTGCGTTAATGCACCAGACTGCAAAGCCATTTGAATTACAAGGACAGCTGTACATGCTCACCAGCTGCTCCTTGAAAACCATATACAGGGTCACTATGGGTCGGCACCGACTTGATGGCACTTAACAACAACAATAACAATCTGTCTTAGTCTGGAAGCGCAGAAGAAACTTGTCCACCATGGGTGACCCCACTGGTATTTAAAATATTGGTGGCATAGCTTCCCGAATCACAACAACATGCAAGTCACCACAGTCTGTCGAACTGACAAGTGGTGGAGTCATGGCCATAGAAATGGAAATAATATATATTCATAAGACATTTAAAAAAATAATAAATCATATATAGATTTTGGGGGGACTTAATAATAAAAATTCAAGGATATCCCTCCAGCTCAGTAAATAGAAATCAAGTCATTCTTTAATGGTGGTGGTGGTGGTTATGTGCCGTGGAGTCGGAACCGACTCATAGCCACCCTGTACAGGGTTTCCGAGGCTGTATATCTTTACGGGAGCAGTACACCTCATCTTTCTCCCGCAGAACAGCTGGTAGTTTCGAGCTGCTGACCTTGCGGTTCACAGCCCTATTCGTAACCACTACGCTACAGTATTAATGGTATGAATATACCATAATTTATTCAGCTGGTACTCTGATTGATATTCAAACCACTGCATGTTTTTTGACATTGTATCCAATATTGTGATAAAAAGTGTTTATATATTTATGTATGTATTCTTTGTGTTGGTTTATGCATTCTTAACTGTTGGGAGCTTTTATTTTTGTAAAGTAGATTCCCAAAATTGGGATGCTAGGTCAGTTGTTGTTGTTGTTAGGTGCCATCGAGTAGGTACCAACTCATAGCGACCTTATGCACAGCAGAAGGAAACACTGCCCGATCCTGGGCAAACCTCACATTTGAGTCCATTCATGTTACCACTTGGCCAGTCCATCTCGTTGGGGGGTCTTCCTCTTTTTCTCTGACCCTCCACCTTACCAAACATGATATCCTTCTCCAGCGACTGGTCCCTCCTGACAACATGTCCAAAGTATGAGATATGAGATATGAAGTTTTGGCCATCTTAGCCTCCAAGGAGCACTCTGGATGCACTTCATCCAAAACGGATCTGTTGGTTCTTTTGGCAGCCCAAGGCACTTTCAGTATTCTCCTCCAACACCATAGCTCAAAAACATCAATTCTTCTGTGGTCTTCCTTATTCACTGTCCAGCTTTCACATGCATTTGAGGGTATTGAAAATACCGTGGCTTGGGTCAGGCGCACCTTAGTCCTCAAGCTGACATCTTTGCTCTTCAACACTTTAAAAAGGTCTTGTGCAGCAGATTTGCCTAATGCAATACGTTGTTTGATTTCTTGACTGCTGCTTCCATGAGTGTTGATAGTTGATCCAAGAAGAATGAAGTCCTTGACAACTTCAATCTTTTCTCCGTTAATAAGAATGATGTTTATTGGTCCAGTGGTGAGGATTTACGAATTTATATTTTTAGTTTTAATGAATATTACTGATTAATTTTACATGAAGATTAGTCTCATTCACACCAAAGTGCCCAATCAACATTTCTTCTCCAGTGCTAGTATTCTGTTTAACTTTGCCCCATGTATTGTATTTCCTTTACCCTTAATATGAGTAGAGTTTTATCGGTAGGTTTTTATTTTCTCCTTTTTAAATTGTCTGTTTTATGCCCTCTTTCCTACTTCTCTTTCTATTTATCTTCTTACAGCAGTGCTGGTGGTACTATAGGATAAGCACTGGATTGTTAACCACAAAGTTGGCAGTTCAAACCCACAAGCCACTCCTCAAGAGAAAGATGAAGCTATATGCTCCCGTAAACATTTATAGCTTCAGGAACGTTGAACCAGGGATATCATGTTGTTGTTGTTGTTAAGGGATATCATAGCGGACATTGTATGAATTTTGAGTGAAAACCACCTAGGGCAACCATCCTACACTTTTCATTCCAAACACATTATTGAAGAAGTCTTAGACTCCTGTAAGAACCATCTTTACACTCCTAATAGTAGCAACAGCTGTGTATATTAGAGGAATTTCCCCCTAATCTAGCATTTGTTGCTTAATATGTTTGTGACGCCTGCTTTCATGCGAATCTTTTTTTTTTTTTCATTAAAAATGCATTTTCCCTTAAAGCTATTAAATGTTTTGCTCAGTAAGAGTTCTAACCTCTAAATTGTCAATCCTCTCCTAAATTTTCTCTTAACGCTTTCATTGTTTTATTACTGTGACACTCGTTTTTGTTATGCTGTAAAATTGGGAAGTGTATATGTTTTCCCCCTATTATTTCAATATAGTATCTGAATACAATTTTTGGTGTCTGATGTGTGATTCACCATGGTTCTCTTGTAGTGTCAATATTAAAGTGAACTATGTTGTTGTTGAGTACTGTCTAGTTGGTTCCGACTCATAGCATCCCTGTTTCTGAGTTTTCTGAGGAGTGGCTGGTGAGTTTGAACAGCTGACCTTGCAGTTGAAACCAACCTTGAGGTTGAATGCTTATCCTATGGCACCATACCAGGACTCCAAAGTGGCCTATAGTTACTTTAAAGAAGTCATCATTGTTAAGTGTGGTTGAACTGGATCCAACTCATAGCAACCCTGTATAGAGTTTCTGAGGAGCGGCTGGTGGGTTTGAACTGCCAATCTTATAGTTAGCAGTCCAGTGCTTATCCTGTAGTGCCATACCAGGACTACATAAATAAAAAGTGATAGTATCTAGTAAAACAAGTCTCTAGTTATTTTTTTCTGCTCACATATTCATTTATCTATATGAACCCTAACATCATTTTGTCCTTAAAAAAAATTAAACCACAGAGAATCTGAATGGAATGATACTCTAAGTTATCAGGTGATTGGGAATGGTGGAGATGTCTATACATTGTAGAATTTGTAAAGTAAGATTTTTAGTGCTCTATGAATTATGATAAATTATGAAAATTCTGACAAGTTTGCATTTAAGATTTGATCATCCACTCCTATTCTTATCTACACTTTAGTGACTACTGTTTAAATAGTGGCCTCAGAGGAATTTATGATTGCAGCAATATTTTATGTCTTTTTGAAGTAAATAAATAGTGCATCAGTTTTTCATATAATGAAATAGAAAAGAATTCCTTCAGTTAAGATTTGTTTTTCAAGAACACAAATGGTAATTGTATATACTGGGGGGAAGTATTTATAATGTATGTTGAAATTACAAAATATTTGCACTTTTAACTGCTCTCTTCTATCTTAATATTCAGAAGCGATTGTTGGAAGCCATGGAGTCATGTAACCACTCCCTCAAAAAAGAAGAGAGAAAAAGGAATCAACATAGTGAGTGCCTAAAATGCTGGTATGATGGAGACATGGAGTTTACTTACCCCTCTCCGTGGCCAGAAAAATTCCCTGACATACAACGATGTTGCACAAGGTAATGGGATTTGGTAGCTTTTTGATAACCATGAATAATGAAAAAAAAGCTATGAAATACCTATTTGGAAAATTACCAAGTAGTTTATTGCATTTACTCAACATCAATCAATAATGAATGAATCACCTCTAACTTGCCAAGCATCATCGTCTTTCTTCCTGTATTTATAGTTCTCAGCTTGGATCAGATTGTTTCTCTCTTTGCTTCTTTTGATAAACTTGATATATTTCTTCTCAATTTTATGTCTCTGTTTGCCTCCTTCAAGAAGATATGTGAATTTTTATTATTTCATTTCCAGTAACTTTGATCCCAGGATTATGTAGTATTTTTTTACTTTATCTCTTATACTCCCCACCTAACTAAAAAGAAAAAAGTCAAAGAAATAAAACACTTTTGTTGGTGTTTCAGACCCACTTTTTCTTTCTCACTGAGATTTCTCCTTTGTTTTTACTATTCTCTTATTCTCCTTGCAAAAAATCTACCAAGATAACACAGTAGCAGATAAAGTGAACATCTGTTTGTTGTGATATTTCCTTTTGTTTAAAACATAGAGAAAGATGGAATTGAAACTATAAAAATTTCATACTATGAGTTTTGGAACATGGAGGGTATAGAGATTTGTATTTCGTTTTATACTTGCCTTCATTTTAATAATTAGTGATACAGAAGTTGGAGACTTTTAAAAGTTCAGAGAAAATTTTAATTAAAAGACAATGAAATTTTTCCACAAAATTTTTGAAGCCTCTTCTTGTATATTGTTTTTATTTAAATTAATGGAAGAAAACTTATGAACAGTAACCTACAGACATGGTGTTTCTGGACCAAAAACAACAAAGAATCTGGGTCCTCTGTATTTTCTTTATTATAAAGGAATAATTGTCATTCCCTTTTTTCAAAGCAAGGATGGTTCATAAAAATAATCAAGGATAAATTGACAAGCTATAGTTGTTTGTAATATATGAGTTTTAAATTAAATTCCTTGATTTGTTTTCTAGGTACAAAATCATATCTTTAGATGCTTGGCGTGTAGACATAAGCAAGAACAAAATAACGAGGGTTGACCAGAAAGCGTTATATTTCTGTGGATTTCCTACTCTGAAACACATCAAACACAAAGTTAGTGTCTACTTTGTTGAGAAAATTTTCACTTTATTGAATATAAAGTGATTCTTGAGAAAGATTTGAAATTTAATTCTCTGAATTCTTTTAAAGTTTTTTTTAAAGAAAAGTGGTGTACAAGTATTCCAACAAAGCAGTCGTGGAGAGAACATGATGTTAGAAATCTTACTGAATGCAGATTCAGATGACCTTGTAAGTATGTTATTTATTATTCCTTAATTTGGCACTTACTATGTATAAAACTATTCTAGGTGCTGAGATGTTTACCAGAGATATAACATATTTTAACATGTTATAAATATATTTTATCTCAAAAGTTCACAGTCAAAGGGATACTGCAAAGAAACATTGAGACAGGTTCAGCACATGTGTGATAGTGACTTAATGAGCAAAAATAAGCTCTAAAATTATTGAAAAGGATGTGAGCTATGTAAGCTAAAGATTAAACATACACCTGTAGACAAGAAAAGCCTAGAGTTGGGAGCTAAAAAATACGTTAGGGCCAAGAGGACTAAGGAGTAGGGAAAGCATTCTAGTTGAAAAGAGTAGTAGTAGTAGTTGTTGTTGTTGTTGTT